TAGTAGTAAGGATATTCTATCTTTATATATAATCTTATTCAGTTATTAATAGTTAATAACTAAATAGAGTTTACTATTCTTCTTTAGTATAAATATTACAGGGTATTCTATAGATAAAGTTAATAGTTATATATAGTCTTTTACTAATATATTATTAATATATTTATAGAGTATTTATAACTAAGGTTCTATAAGGTTATATAATTTATAGAAATCAGATTCTTCTTCTTTAATAATAGAGATTTTATAATCCTACTAGCTATATTCTAATAGCTCTATTTTAAGTTCTTTTATAAATAGTATTTTCTTAAAATATTTATATTCCTATAAAATATTTTTAAGATATTCTTCTTATCTTAGATACTTAGCTTATTTATATTTATACTAGGTATTCTTTTTCTTATTCTATTATACTCTTTATTAATTATTTATTTAGCTCTATTTCTAAATTTCTATACTAAATAATTTTAAAGATAGTTTTTTTATTTCCTTCTACTATTAGCTATATTTAACCTTATATTCCTATTATTATTCCTTAGTTAATTATTTCTAATTAATAAATACTAAATCTATATCTAAGGGTAGTTCTTACTTCTATATCTAACCTAAGACTTATATTATTTATCTTAGTTCTTATTATAATAGTTTTCTTATATTACTAGGTTATAGTACTATTAAAACTAATACTACTATATCTACTTATTATTATAAGTTATTATAGTTTTTTATAGTAGTACTTTTAGATATTAAAAAGTAAATATATTTTCCTAATATCTAATAAAATTTTAATTTTTATTAATCCTAATATTAGTATATAAGAGTATCCCTCTACTCTATCTAGCTAGTATACTAATTAATTAGTAGGTTTATATCTTAAAGCTATAGTAATTTTAATATAATCTTATAGGTTCCTAATAGTACTAGATTATAGATAATATTAAATCTCTTTTCTTAGATTTTAATTATAAGATAATTAGTCTTAGAATTAATAATTCTATTATTATACTTAAACTTTAAGCTTTTAATATTTATAACTATATAGATATCTTTCTTCTTTTTCTATAATAGATAGAGTTAGTTAATTACTACTAGTAAGATATAATTTTCCTATACTCTATAGTTAATAAATACTATAAGCTAGTTCCTTTTAATCTTTATTTCTATAAGAATATATATAGAGCTTCCTACTTCTATAGCTTCTAGAGTTCTCTAATCTATTATTAATATTATACTATACTATAGCCCTATTATAAATAGTTTAGATTATTTTTTATCTAGTTAATTTATTCTTAAAGTTATTTCTAATTTTTATTATTCTTAGATACTTATTTAAGGATATTTTTAAGATTTTCAGATTCTTCTATATAACTAGGGATATATTTTATAAACTTAATTTTCTAATTATATAATTCCTTAATTATTATAAGTATTTTATTATTAGAGTAGGCTTTATTCTATTTCTTTTTATTAGTTAAGATTATTCTCTATTTCTCTATTTTACTACTATCTTTACTATTTATAGGGAATAGTTATTCTCTTAAGTAATATTCTTAGAGTTCTTCCTCCTATAGTTATTATTATTCAAAATATAATTTAATAGTATTTATATTATTATTACTATTCTATATTAGTACTAGTACTTCTTACTTAATCTCTTAATAGTTTCTATAATTCTAATTATAATATTATTTAATATAGCTATTATATTTATATATTATCTAATCTTCTGCCTACTAGTAGTTATACTATAATTTAATCTTATTATTCTTATAAATCTTATATTTCTATTCTTAATATATCTCTACTAGAAGTTCTCCTTCTATATACTCCTTAGGATACTCCTTTAGGTCTTCCTTAAAGATAGTATAAGATCCTATTCTATAGTATTAGTAAGTAAATTATTATATCTGAATTATATTATACTTTCTAGGTATTCTTCTATTAGGAAATAGAAAAAAGTTATTTAATATTTTTTCCTACTAATATATAGTATACCAGATATTATAATATATTATCTAGAATTCTAATCTATAGTTATACCTTCTACTAGTATTTATATATATTAGATTCTTATACCTATTACTAGAGTATTAGATAGTATTTATAGTATCCCTTCTATATAATACTATTCTATATACCTTCTTAAGGTTTTATATTTATATTTTTTATTAATAATAGATATAGAGTTTATTATATTTAGTTTTAATCTTATTCCTAGTAAATATATATTAGTTTTATTCTTTAGAGATATATTTAATAAGTCTATTTATATAGCAGAATATATACTTATATTTAATAAGAGATCTAATATCTATAATATCTTTCCTATCTTTAAACTTCTTTCTAAGTTCTTAGAGAGTATATATAATATATTATTAGTTTTCTTCTAATACTATTTATTCTTTTTTCTTATTACTAGTTTCTAGTATCTTATAGAATTTTAATATAGGTTTTCTAGAAAATATAGATACTATAGTAACTATATAATTTCCTTCCTAAGCAGTCTTTCTAATTATTCTAAGTATCTTAGTTTTAGTTTTTTCAGTTACTTCTAATTATTTCTTACTTTCTTTAGTAGGTTTCTAGTTCTTCTACTTTTTTAGCTTAAGATATTATAGTAAAATATATCTAATCTTATTATAGTTATAATATTTATATTTTTCTATAGCTTCTAGCTCTATAGGATCTATATATATTCTAAAGACTATAGATTATTATTATTATTATAGTTAATTAGTATTAGTATAGTAGATTATCTTTTTACTATAAGTATACTAATAATACTATTAATTATTAATTCTTATAGCTATAGTTATATATTTATAAATACTTACTAGCCTATCTTCCTTATAAAATTCCTTCTGAATTTCTTTCTTTAATCTATTAAAATAATAAGATATAGTATACTCCTAGTCCTATTTAGTTTTTACTAGAAGCTGAAGGTATTTATTATTAAATATAAAAATAAATCCTATCTATAAGAGCTTATTAATTTTATACTCTACTTTATACCTCTTATCTTAGATTCTAAAGATTTATTAGAGAGTTTTTATAAAGTAATTAAAGCTTATTATAATATTAATAGTTTATTAGCTCCCTTAATTATTAAGATATTCCCTTATAATAGGCTTAAACTAATTAAGTATAGTCCCCTTAAATTATAAATAGGTATATATAACTTATTATTTATTACTATTAAGAATAATAGAGAAGTAGTTAAAGTATATTTAAAGTTAAGTTATAAAGCCTTAGAGTTTATCTTAGGTTCTATTAAATATCTCAGATAGTAGTAGCTTAAGTAGTACTCCTAGCTCTCTTCTTTAGACTATAGCCTGAGCCTGAGCTTAGAGGTTAGTATTCTGAGTAGCTTGCTATTCTATAAGGGTAGTAGTAGTAGCTATTTCTTATTATATAGTTATAAGGTATTCCTAAAGCTAAAGAATCTAGGCTTATAAGAGCTTAAGCTTAGTATTATTATTTCTATTACTACTACTATTACTACTATCTTTATCTATAGTATTATTATTATTTAGAGTAGGTAGATTATTAATAATAGGGTTCTACTATTAAGCTAGAGGAACTATAGTAGTTATAATATCTTCTTTATTATTATATAGTAATTAAGATAAGGTAATTAGCTAAATAAGAGTTATTAATATATAATAGTTAGATTAACTTATACTAAATAGGATCTAGGGTAGATTAGGATTAAACTAATTAGAGGATTATTCTAAATAGTATAATTAGATTATCTTAGGCTATATAATATAAGTTACTATTAATATATAAGTATTATAGAGCTAGTAATAATAGATATATAGATAATTATATTAATAACTATCTAAAGGGGTATTCTAACTAATAAAATAAATATATATATATAATAGTTATAGAGCATAAGGAGTATACTATTCCTAGTAATCTAGCTATATCCCGCGATAGGAGTATAATACTTCTATTGCTCCTGTCCTTCAGATAGTAGGGTATATATAACTATATAACCTATTATAGAGGCCTTTATTTATAATATATTTCTAATACTAGTTCTTAAGATAATATTAGGTAGTTAGGATAATAAAAGAAGAAATAGCCTAACTAGCTATATTTATCTTTTAGATTATAATTATCTATTTCTAGTTATTAGACTAAACTAGCTTAGTCTTTATATAACCCTCTAAGGTTATAACTACTATTCTAGAGAAGATAATATCTATTATAAAGCTAATCTTATTAAAGTTATATAAATTTTTATTTAGAATATTATATTTTATCTTTAGATTATATATAAGATTAAATTAAAATATAATAATCTTTAGATCTTTATATTTAGCTCTCTAATAGTTATATTTCTAAATCTAGTATATATAGAGCTTTAATTACTACTTAATAAAGTTAGAAATCTAATTAATATAAATAGAGGGTATATTATATATATATAGTAGGATATTAGCTATTTTCTTAATATTATATATTCTAGAAGGAAATATATATATAAATAGCTTAAGTATATATAAAATAATAATTTTCTCTTTAGATTTTAATAGATTTATTAATTTTAATTAAATATTATATTTTACTATATAATTAATATATTAATTATAAAGGGTTATATATAGAACTTAATAGACTTTTACTACTATTCTAATACTTAATTTTAGGTTTTAATTAAGAGCTTAGATTATAAGAATAATATTTATTTTATATAAAGTTATATTTATTTTATAGTAGAAAGTTATTTAATTATAAAGAGGAAGTTCTAATTTCTGGATAGAAGTAATCAGCTTACTTGTATAATCAGCTCACTTATGGATTATATTAATAAGCCCTTCTTTTTTAACTAACCCAATTGTTAGCCCAACCTCTGAGATCTTGCGTGAACCCTCGGCGGCCACTCATCCGCGCCTTCCTTCTCATTTGGTATCACTACCGAACAACAACCAGCAATACTGAAGGTAATCAATCGATGCCGCAAACGCATTACGATCTGTCGGCGTCATGAACTAAGATACTGGACTCTCAGGATGGTATTTGGCCACCCATGCCTCAGCGATATCGCCTTTGTTAACCTGTCTCAGGTGATAGCTCAATGGCACACCTATGCCACCACTGGAAGCCTTCCGCAGGAAGTCGTTAAGGGCGGCCGTCATATAATTGACATCAAGAAGTTTGCTGATGCTGCTGTTGACCTTTGTTAGCGCTGAATCCACCAGACCCTGCCCAAGCTGCCCTGGATTCAAGGTACCATCGTCCAGATCGTTCAATTGAACTCTCTGTAAGGCAGGCAGAAGAGTATCCAATTCTGGCTTGTCTGATGCGGACTCGCTGAGGGTCACCTCCGGGGTCGTGCCCGTGGTGAGGAAGGTGACATGGCTCCTCACGGCGGGGGTTTGGACGTTGCTGCTGGTCGAGTTCAAGACGTGAACCATGCCGATGAAGCTTGACCCGAGGCTCATTCCCGACACGAGGCCGAGCTTGTTATCAGCCTCGCTTCCATCTGCTGTGCGGGCTAATTCAACCATCTCTCTTGGTTTAGTTGCGTCAATCCTGTCATCAGGGAACAGGCGATTCCAAGCCTTGATGCCCTTTTCAGGGTCAATCGCCAATGGCTCGAGAATCAACCCATCTCTGTGTGTACACGAGGCGGATAGAATCAATGTGCCAGCCACACTGTGTCTTTTCACTTGGCCGAGGACCTGAGCCTCAGCAGCCTGGCTTATTTCAGCCGAGAGCCTGGTCCCCAACCAGCTGGTCGCGTCCGATACTACTGAGGAAATATTGCTAGCAAACGAATTTGCGCTCTGCTCATTGGGATCCATAGAGAAGTACTGAGCGTCCACTTTGAGGGATTCGGCGGCCAAAGGAATCGATACCTGCTGTGCCTTGAGAAAATCGATCGGCCTTTCCACTCCTGCGCTATTGCCGATGCCATAGATCTTTGAACGAAGGCTTCCAACGGCTGCCTCGACCTTGAGCTTGATCCTGGCATAGTCCTCGGTGACGCTCGCGATCCTGGAGCTCAAGTTGTTGATCTCGTCATCAATGGGGGATGTATCGATTCCAAGATTGATGAGCTCGGATTTGGTCTTGCCGAGACTTTTTCGAGACGCCACCAGAGCTTCTAGCTCTTCACGGGTGGCGCTGACGGGCGCCTCGGCTCGCGATATTTCGTTGACCAGTTGGAGGGTGGCATTGCTCAGGACGCTGCCAAGAACTAGGCTGGGGTCGTAGGGGATTGATGATTGCATTCTGGCAAAGAGGCTCGAGTTGATTGGGAGTACTCCAAATTTGATCGAACAAAGCTCGCTTTCGCTGAGTACCTCTATTCTTATATTCGACGATGGGTGAGCGCTTCTAGTGTAATCTGCTGGGCAGAACAGGGGCTGACGAGGAACTAGCAGTTTCTACGTACATGTGCATACAGTAGTCCCATGCAGCAAAAACGTTGGACCAATACGCTCTAATTACGACTTTGTATGATGGAACTGTGGCCCTTGTTTGTTCCATGTCACCCAATTGCCTGCGTCCCATTTGCCAAGACGGGATGGTCTATTCAGCTGCATTCAGCTCACTGATCTGGACCATCGTTGCCCGAACAGGACGAGCTCAGCTATGATGATCGGGTGAGAATTTCTCTTTTGGAAAGCTAAGAAATAAGCCAAGTGTAGTGTAAGCTCCTTTGTCCCTATTGATTTTAGTCTAGGTAATTAAGTTCACAGTTTTTTGTTTGATATTGACGATATCACATCTGTTTTCTTACCACTGCGCACTTTGAAAAAAAGCGTTGGTTGTGGACTGTACGTACAGGGGCACAGCATTTGAAGGGGGTGTCATCTCTTCTCGGATTCGCTACAACATGCGCATTAATATGACTGAGACGTGGCCAAATGAGGGGTGAGCATGGGGTAACAAATTGAGCGACTTTTCACTCTCTGTGGATGCCCAACGCTGCCTTGGTATTTTCTAATCCATACGGCTAACCTTGAACTTCAAACAGATCTGAAATATTGGGGAAGTGGAGGGTATAGGACCGTCTCGGCCTGCGAACAGAAACACATGTAATTCCCCCAGACCATCCCGGACACAAGCATGCCCCAGCCGGAGGACTACACGATCGGCTGGATTTGCGCGATAAGAACAGAATATGTTGCAGCTCGACAATTTCTCGACGAAGAACATGAAGGGCCACGAACTGTGTCACCCAACGACAGCAATGCATATACACTTGGCAAAATGCGAGAACACAATGTTGTGATCGCTGTCTTGCCTGATGGCCAGTACGGTGTATCTTCCGCCACCGGGGTTATAAAAGACATGATACATACCTTTCCCAATATCAGGATCGGCCTTATGGTTGGTATTGGAGGTGGCGCGCCAAGCACAAAGCATGATATTCGTCTAGGCGATGTTGTAGTCAGTGCTCCGCGGCAGGGAAAAGGCGGCGTCTTCCAGTACGACTTTGGGAAAACCATTCAGGATCAGAGCTTCAGAACGACGGGGTTTATGAATCACCCGCCGGCCGTTCTACTCACAGCAGCCACAGTGCTTAGCGGTCAGTATGAAAGTGACGGACACAATCTTGAACGAGATATTAGCAACATACTCGAGAAGAAGCCCAGGCTGCGGAAGGCCTATGGACGGCCAGATCCAAACAGCGATAGACTCTACAAGTCTAGAATCATACACCCCAAGGACAACGAAATGAGTTGCGAGGCAATTTGCGATAACCCGGAAAATTTGGTAGAACGACGCCAAAGAACCGAGGACGAAGATAACCCGGCTATCCATTACGGCTTAATCGCCTCAGCAAATCAGCTGATGAAAGATGCTTTGGTCCGGGACAAACTTGCTGCTGAGGAGGGTGTCCTATGTTTTGAGATGGAAGCGGCTGGATTGATGAACCACTTTCCCTGCTTGGTTGTTCGCGGTATATGTGATTATTCCGATTCTCACAAGAACAAAGAGTGGCAAGGCTACGCTGCTATGGTGGCTGCAGCATATGCAAAGGATCTCCTCGGTCGAGTCGCTCCAAGCAGAGTTCAAGCTGAAACGAAATTGAGCAATGCTCTGTCTGGTAATCTCGGCTCCTACAATTTTCCATACATGGGTATTAACTTAATCATTCAGGCCTCTATGATGTCGCAACAGCGCAGTTAGAAATTACAAGGCAGCACGTCCAAGCCCAAAAGGATTTTGCCAAACAAATGCTCACTCAGCATGAACAAAGATGTCACCAGCAATTCCGCCTTACAGCTAGCGATAGGGATATCACGTATGAGTGGTACAAGAACCGAGTAGAGGAAAGAGTCGAAGGAACGTGCCTATGGTTTCTTGAACATGAGCACTTCCAAGGATGGTTGAAGCAGAACTCTGGGCCCCTCCTTGTTACAGCCGACCCTGGTTGTGGAAAATCCGTGTTGGCCAGATACTTAATTGACCATGGCTTGCCACGATCAGTAACCATCTGCTATTTTTTCTTCAAAGATGAAGATCAGAAAACGGCTCGGCAGATGCTTTGCGCGCTACTTCACCAGCTGTTCTCTCAACATCCGGCTCTAATCAAACACGCAATGCGGCAATACGAGAAAGACGGAGAAAGTTTGACCAACTCTACCGACTCACTTTGGGAGATTTTGCGAAGTTCTGTCCGAGATCCGCAGGCGGGATCTGTGACCATTGTGCTCGACGCCTTAGACGAATGTGCACAAACCGAGTTTGAAGCTCTAGTGCGGAATATAGAGGCCCAGTTTCACAGCAATGACCCGGGTAATGCCAAATTGAGATATCTTCTTACATGTCGCCCTTACGAGCAATTGGTGTCTCGATTCTCTAACTTGTTGGGCGTTTTTCCAAACATTCACATCCCTGGAGAGGAGAATTCAGAAACCATTAGCCAGGAGGTAAATCGCGTTATCACACACCGAGTTTATCAGTTACCAAATAATATCTCCCCCGAGATCAAGAGTCACCTGGAGAAAAGACTACATTTGACCAGCCATCGTACCTATCTCTGGGTGTACCTTGTGTTTGACTATTTAAAGGACGGAAGCTTCAAGAAGACACGGAAGGGGGTTGACTCTGCTATTAGCAACCTCCCGAGGAGTGTAAACGAGGCATATGAGCAGATTCTCAACAGATCCAACGCCGAGGAGCGCCAAATGGTTCGCAAAGTCCTGAGTATTGTCTTAGCGGCAAGTCAGCCACTTACACTCAAGGAACTTAACATAGCGACGAATATCGACTACGAAACAAAATCACTTGAGGACATTGATTTAGAGGACGAGGATGACTTCAAAAAGCGCATTAGATCCTGGTGCGGGTTATTTATCTTAATCTCACAAGGTCATGTCTATTTTCTTCACCAAACAGCTCGCGAGTTTCTGATCGCCGATTCAAGTTCAACACCGCCTGTTACCCCCTTAAAATGGGAACACTCAATCACTATAAAAAACGCGCAAGCCGTTCTTGCAGAACTCTGTGTCCTATGTCTGGCATTCGCCGGTCCCGAAGTCACTCTGGCGATAGATGGATACGACGATCAAGTCAAGTTCATGAATCGACAACCCTTCTTTTTTTACTCGGCACTAAATTGGGGAGCTCACTTCCGACATGCTAAAATTGCTGAGGACGCCGCTATCATACCTATAGTTTTAAAGATTTGTGATCCAAGTGCAAAAAGCTACTTGGAATGGTTCAATATCTATTGGGGTACTAAACATTACGGCAGAATTCCGCAGTTTTCACATCTCATGGTAGCCGCATACTATGGCCATCATCTGACTATGAAGTTAATATTAAAGAAGGACGCCAATTTGAACTCGAAAGATGATATTCACCACCGGACACCACTCCATTGGGCTGCTTTCAATGGACATAAGGCAGCCGTCGAGCTATTAATAGATAAAGGCGCCGACTTGGACTCCAAAGATCGCGATAGAGCTACACCACTCTTGTTGGCTTCTTCTATGGGGCATGAGGCGGTCGCCAAGCTCTTAATAGATAATGGCGCCGAGTTGGACTCTAAAGAGAGCAGTGGCCGAACACCACTATTAGTGGCTGCTTCCCAGGGGCATGAGGCGGTCGCCAAGCTAATGATAGACAAGGGCGCCGACCTGGACTCTAAAAATCATTATTACCACGCACCAGTCTTATTGGCTACCTTCTATGGACACGAGGCGATCGCCAAGCTGTTGATAGAGAAGGGCGCCGACGTGAACTTCAAAGCATTCAATGGCCAGACAACATTATCAGTAGCTGCTAAGGAGGGGAGAGAGGCCATTTTCAATCTGCTCCTAGTAACACCTGGTATTGACATTGACTCTAAAGACAATTGCGGTCGTACGCCGTTATCATACGCTGCCATGGCTGGCCATGATACAATGGTAGAGGCCTTGATCTCGAACGAAAGGGTCAAAATCGACGGGGAGGACTCTTACGGCTCAACACCAACATCATTGGCAGCGAGGCATAATTGCACACAAGTCATCAAGCGGCTTCTGGGCACAGGGCGTGTAGATCCAAACTCTCTAGATCACTCGGGGCGGACTCCGCTGTGGTACGCCAAACGATACGCAAATCCCGACATCGTGAAACTCCTCTTTCAACATGCTAGAAATTCCGATATAGCATCCGATAGGAAGGTATTCCCTACTCCTGGTATGGGTACAATGAGGAACAAGAGGGCCTTTCAACAATGCGATGCTTGTACTTTGTTTATTTATCGCGGATACAAATATTATAATTGCGATATCTGTAATAAGGGTGATTTCGATCTGTGCTCAGACTGCCACGGGCTTGGAGTACGTTGTTTGGGAGTTGGTCACCAGATGACCAAGAAGAGTCAACCGATGCCAGTAGCCCCACCAAAAGGAGCGCTTCCTGTTATCGTGGGGTGATCTGTTTAGCCCTTAGTTTATGAACAGACCGCAGTTTTTGAAAAAGATCAGAGGAAGTCACTCATATAAATTTCGATGTCTGGTTGTATTGAGAACCCAAAGGCCAAAGTATCTACTTTCCAAGGACTACAGGATACAGCCGGCTCTTGCCAGAAGGCTCCCGACTCATTGCTGCAATGAATTGATTGGCTTTGGTTGCAGTAAATCCATCAAATTTGTATTTGTCAAAGATATCACGAGTCGGATTGTTCTTTTCTTGTCTAGCTCAGCTCGTTTGATGATTTATGGGGTTGTTGATGGTCTCGGGTAGGCAGACTTTAGTTGGTTAGTGAATGGATCAGAAGCCCTTGCGCCCAGATGCTTAACCCCAACTTTCCAATGCAGGCCACAATATTGATAGACAATAGTTAATAATAGCAACAGCAATAAAATATTGAGCAATTATTTGGCAATATTGTCTACTCAATATTACACAATATTACACTGTAGGAAGCATTATTATACAACGAACTGTCACAATGATTCTGCCAAGGCGATTTTGCAGTCCCTATTTTCCTGGCTGCCACTGTCCAGGGAAGGTGTGTTACGTATCCACCCCCACTGCATAGGGAGGGGTTTCCCGCCCCGCGAAAATGACGCGAAACACGTGTTCTGCAGGGAGTCAAAGTGAAGAGAAGACGAAACAAGATATTCACTTTATTCACTTCTCAATCGATCTCCTTGGCCGAACTACTCCGGGTGTTGATCCGCCCAAAAAGTCACGAGCCATGAAAAGGCCTGCTTCGGCCTTGCCCGAATCCACCAGTGTGAAGAGTGTTGCGAGACTGCTTTTTGAACCCAAGAGAGTTAAAGTGTCGGAGGATACCAAGGAGGATAGCGAGGAGAGTTCTGAGGAGGATAGCGAGGAGTATACCGAGGATGATATCGACGAGTATACCGAGGAGGAGAGCGAAGAGGATAGCGAGTGGGATATCGAGGCGCCTACTGAGGACTATACCGCGTATTGGCCATCATGGTATCTTGACATCTACAATGAAATGGCATATATGGACATGTTTCATGGCGGCTGGAGTGAGTGCTCATCGGAGTATGAAGGCTCAGAATCAACAGAGGATGCAGAACCGGCAGAGGAGCTGGTAGAGGACACGGAACCGGCAAAGGACACAGAACCAGCAAAGCACACAGAACCAGCAAAGGGCCCAAACTTAGCAAATGCTCAAGATTTGCGACAGGGCGCCCCTGCAGAGCCTGCCAAACCATTGAAGACGCTGGACGAAATAAACGTCGACGACGCTAAGAACCGTGACCGCTGGAGATTGCAGCTCAATAACCAGAAAATCAGAAGGAGCGCTGACCCTCGCCTGGAGAGGCAAATAATTCTGGCTAAGAATGCGACCGAACTTGTCTCCAAAACGTATGAGTTACTCGAACAAACGCCTCGTGATCACCGGCCAATCATTTGGTTGAAACAGCGCTATGACCTGTTTTGCGAGGACCATGCCAGGCTTTTTGCAAAAACCGACGAGGACGACGATTTCGGAGAGTACGAGCATGGAGACACCAGAACGGTCAAATTTATCCGCATCTCGGATCAACAGCTTAATGACGAAGGTATTGACGAACGCGATGTCCCACCATGCGGGGGGGGCCAAATTTTCCAAGCCGACATCAGGATCTGTGGCGGTCTTCGAGGAACCAAGCTCTTCTCAGTTATATATGCAAACTCTGAGCCCACTGTAGTCGGCTCTTGGTCAATGGGGGATCTGGCCTTCACCTTCATCGAGGACCACTTCTTCAAGTTGAGGATCCCAAGGGACAAGGTGCTCCAGGGAACAAAGATCGACCCATCGAAAGCTCCCGAGTTCTTTGAGTTTGTTGGCATTTCAAAGGAATACCAATCTGCCTGAGATCTTGGCAGGTGCTTTTAGAAGATGATCTGGGGATTTGCAGTCTATGTTATGACTTCTGTATTTTTATCATATGCTATTGGCTGAGCTTTGTTGATACCTTATTGTTACTTGATTGACGCTTTATTGGAACTTAATTGATATATTATTAGTACTTTATGTACCTTGTTGTTATTTTATTGTGCTTTGTTGTTACTTTATTGTTGTCGATACTCTTACTGATAACTATACAAAGGAAGGGAATTTGTTACGTTTAAAGTAATGATGGCTATGCAGACTCCAACTTTGAGCTAGAATATGTTCTACTGAAAGTCCAACTACTATGGTTCTGCCTAGAGGAGTCTCCTTGCTTCGTGGGCGTGTCTTGCCACCAGCAGCATTCCTCGAAACCCATGACTATGTTTCAACGCTTTCACAGACTCGGATATGGAGGGTACTTTTCGCCATGGAAGCGCGTCGTAGTCAAATTAAACTTCCAGGCACACACATCAAGGCAGTCTTGCGCAGCACAGTGCTGCGGCGGGTCAAGGATGCTGTATCTTTGGATGCAGGCTGGATAAGGACAGTTGGCACCATTACAGAGACGAAGCAATGCTGATGCAGGTAAATATACCTCTATCGCAATAATGGAGGTCGAGGGGCCTCCTCTCGGCCTCTGTCCATTATTGGGGAAGACTGGTGTGCTCTCGTTGGGCGAAGTGGGCAAGTTGTCAGGGCTAGGAGAAGCACTTGGAGTGTCAATCTTGGTGACTTAGTCTTATAGGGTGATAGTGGATATGGTTGTTAGTTTTTAGCAGGAATTCGAGCTGCAGAGTTAGATTAGAAGATAGGTATGGTAGTCAGATGTGGTGGTTTTGGCTGTGATGGATGATTGCTAACGTAACGCTTGGGTCCATAGGAACAGAGATGAATGGACTTGACAAAACCCTGGTTTAGCTGGATACTCTTTGAGTCCAACTCGAGTTTGTCGGTTATTGAGGTTCTCCTGAGTACATTAATTGAACGTACCTAATACAATATGACAGCCAAGCTTGATACTCCTATTTGCAGGATCCTTTTTGTTGATGACTGTTGTGGTGACGGATGTGGCTGGTGTCTAGGGTAGGCCAATACTTGTGGCTGCTTAATGGCGAGCTCGGGCAGTAAGTTGGCGGAGATTGTAGGCTTTGTCGCAAGACGTACCAAAAAATCATATTTTTTTCATGTATTGCTAAATTCGCAATGATCTTGTGCAAGATATTTTTTGTTGATTTTAACACCTGCCTAAGCTTATCACGTGTTCAATTGCGCCTTGTTCACTTGAGGCAATGGCGTTTTGCAATGCGCTTGCCTTAGCTGCCTTGGCTCTTGGCGGTATTTCCCCTCCACCAACAGCTGGATTTTACCTCTTCTCGCCTCACGCTTTTGCTTCACGCCACGGATTTTGACAACCGTTCGTCCTCCGTATCAGGGAACTACCGAAACCCCGACGCCGTAAGCTCCTTCGACGCACGAGGATGGTACTGTGCCCAGTCCATAACCATGTCGTGGGTAGATGCAGCTTACTCCTGCAAGCTGCGGTCTCCTGTTCCAGCTATATGCACTCTGCCTCTCGGTCTAAGCCTCTGTGATATGCGGCTAATAGTGTTGCTAAAATAGACCTACGAATAGGGGCTCCAGCGCCTACGATACCACCTTACCCCACTGCTTTCGCGACGGGCTTACGGTCCTCCTAGCACCCCCGGAGATACTCTTGATTGCTACACGATAGCGTTCCTCGTTGATCGGAAGCGAGCTCTGATTCATCCATGCCTGCTCAAATACGAATTATCAGCTTTGGCCTACACAAATGCGACTCCTCGAATGCAATGGCGGAGGCATTCGCCTGGCGGAGTTCCAACCAGGCAGTATTCCAGAGTATGCCATCCTGTCGCATACTTGGGGATTGGACGGGGATGAAGTCACCTATAGCGACATGATGGCCGAAATTGCCGACCAGAAAGTGGGATACGAAAAGATCACGTTCTGTAGGGAACAAGCGAAAGTGACAAGCTCCAATATTTCTGGATCGATACCTGCTGCATCAACAAGGACAACGGCCCGGAGCTACTTGCTTCTCTCAACTCCATGTTCGCATGGTATAAGGGCTCGAAGAAGTGTTATGTATACCTCTCAGACGTTTCCAAAGGGACTGACCAGCCTAGCCTTGAATCTGGAACTGCTTCATGGGAACCGGCATTTCGCAATTCTAGATGGTTTAGTCGCGGTTGGACGCTCCAGGAGCTTATTGCTCCCAGTTCCGTTGCTTTCTATTCTAAAGAAGGCCACTTCTTAGGTGATAAAACCACACTGGAGAGTCTCATTCACGACATCACACGCATTCCAGCCAAGGCTCTCCAAGGCAGCCTTTTGTCGCAATTCACTGTCGAGGATCGGCTTGCATGGATGAAAAGCAGGACAACCAAGGAACCGGAAGATCTGGCATATGCATTGCAAGGACTTTTTGACATATTTTTGCCTATGATGTATGGCTGCGGGAAGACACAAGCAGTGCAAACACTTAGGAGATTGATTCATGATGATATGATCGCGAGGCTTTCGGTCACCGACGTAGACACTTATCTTCGGAATGATCATTATAACGACGAAAGATTAAAGATCGAACGACTATCGAGAACAAGGCTTTCCATGAGACACTGTTACATTAATCTTGCCATCATCAAGAGAGGCCAGGGATCGAGGGCAGAAAAGCCACAGAGCAAGTCGTCACCATTTGAGCTCGCTCACCGGCTTAAGATCCAGGACCGGAACAACGATATCAACTTGGACCTTGCTACATTGTTTAACACCTGTCGGGACTCCGATAATAGAAGGGTCTTGATTCGCGGGCGTGCTGGTGTTGGCAAGACCACGCTGTGCAAAAAGATCGTCTTTGAATTCGAGCGGCACGGGCTCTGGAACAATTTGTTTAAGAGAGTACTCTGGTTCCCCCTGAGAGGGCTTAAAACTTGGACGAGCAATCAGTGTAACCTGAGGGAGTTTTTACATCACTTTTACTTTCGACATCATCAGTTTGGTGTCGCTTTAGCCGACCAACTGGCATGCGCTATAGATTTCGATGGACACCGATACGAGAATGAAAAGACCTTGTTTATCCTCGATGGCCTAGATGAGGTCGCTAACACATGGAATCCGGGGGATGCAAAGTACGATTTCCTCACCCGGCTGCTGAATCAACCGAATATGATCATAACATCACGTCCCCACGCTCAGATCCCGGAGCATGTTGCCCGACATATTGACCTCGAAGTAGAAACGATAGGATTCTACGCAGATCAAGTGGAGGAGTATCTAAAAATGGCCATTGGAGACATAGAAAAGGCGACCAAGGCACAAGAAGTTCTGAGGACGTTTCCTCTCATTGAGAGCTTAGTTCGGATTCCAATACTGCTCGATGCATTTTGTTTCACTTGGGATACCCTCAGTCTTACCGACAATCATGCGAAACGGCAAACAATGACGTCCTTCTACCAGGCCATTGTCGAAGAGTTACTTAGGAAAGATGTCGTGCGATCTGAAAAGCCAAATGGGCAGCCAGTCACTGAGACCACCGCGGCCGGGCTGATTGCTTGCCAACTTGAAGCGGAGTCTGAGGAGCAGCTGTGTCTGCTTGAGGATCTCGCTTTCACGGGGATGTTTCATGACATGATCGAATTTGAACCCTATGACCGCAATATCGTCTTGGAAAAGTATGGGCATCATAAAAACATTACATTGGTTGACCAATGTTTAAAATCTTCTTTTCTCCGCACATCAGATCTGAATGAGGCCACAGGCAGTGTGAGCTATCATTTCCTGCACCTGACCTTTCAGGAATTCTTTGCGGCCAAATATTTCGTACGCCAGTGGACCTCCGAAAGGCAAATAATATGCCTGGATCTGGGTAGCAGAACAACTCGAGCGATGCAGAGGGATGACTTCCTTGCGAGATACAAGTACGAGCCCAGATACGACATCTTTTGGCGTTTCGTTGCTGGGTTAATCGATGCTCAGAGCCAAGAGGAAGTTACACGCTTCTTCCGGGTGCTAGAGGATCCTCAGTCGAGGGACCTGTTGGGACCGGTACACCAGCGACTCATCATGCACTGTCTAGCAGAGGTCTCCCCGCAAATGGGGTTGAGAGCAGACTTGGAGCTGAAGTTGGAAAAATGGCTAGTTTTCGAGATCAAGCTCAAGAAAAGGTCTATATTTCCAAAAGAGTCGGAATTTCCAGCCCGCATTCTTTGCAAAATCGCCGAGAGCGAGGACAGAAAGACCATATATGAAGTGCTGAAGGCTTTCCCCTATCGGACTGCTATAGCCAACGTACTCCTGCCTCCTATTCTCAACTGGCTCAATGATCTTAATAAGGCTGTTAGACGCCTTGCGGTTTCTGCCCTACGCCCACGGGCATCTGACCCCCAGGTGCAGCAGGCCCTCTTGAACCGGCTTGATGATGATGATGGTCTTGTTAGAGGGGCTGCAGCCACTGCCCTGCGCAACCGGGCATGTGATCCTCAGGTGCAACAGGCCCTTATAGACCGGCTTGATGATATGCATCCTCTTGCTAGACAGTATGCGGCTCGTGCCCTCCGCAACCGGGGATCTGACTTTCAGGTGCAACAAGCCCTCTTGAACCGGCTTGATGATAATGATGGTCTTGTTAGAGGGGCTATAGCCAAGGCGTTAGGTAGCGAGGCATCTGACCCTCAGGTACAGCAGGCCCTCTTGAACCTGCTTAGTGATGATGACGATGTCGCTAGACACTCTGCAGCTGATGCCTTAAACAGCCAGGCATCCAACCCTCATATACGGCAAGCCCTCTTGAACAAGCTTGATGATAATATAGCTCTTGTTAGAGTCTCTGCGGCTTTGGCCCTACGCAGCCAGGCATCTCATCCTCAGGTGAAGCAGGCCCTCATAAGGCGGCTTTATAATGATGCTGCTGCTGAGGTTAGAGAGGCTACAGCAGGTGCCTTGGGTCGCCAGATATCTAGCATTGAGGTGCAACAAGCGTTTCTAACCCTGCTTAATGATAAGATTGCGGGTGTTAGAGGGGCTGCTGTTTATGCCTTTGACAGCCTGGCATCTAGCACCCAGGTGCAGCAGGCCTTGATACATCGGCTTGATGATGATAATGCTGATGTTAGAACGTCTGCAGTCTATGCCCTAAGCAGCCGAGCATCTGACCCTCAGGTGCAGCACGCTCTTATAGACCGGCTTATGAATGATGCTGCTGGTGATGTCAGAATGTATGCAGCTGATGCCTTGAGCAACCGAGCATCGCACCCCCAGGTACAGCGGGCTCTTATAGACCGGCTCAAAAATGATGCTGCCGCTGGCGTTAGAAGGGCTGCAGCTCATGCCCTAATCAGCGAGGCATCAAGCCCTCATGTGCAGCAGGCCCTCATCGGCCGGCTTGATGACGATGCAGCTGCAGCTGCGGAAAGGACGTTTTTAGATGCTTTGCATTTAACTGGATTTGGGCTTTTTGGCAACCGGCACATCAAGAAACTTTATGCTGCCGCACTTGATCGAAGCTTCGGGGAAAGAGAACACTATTGCTGGCAGCTCCGGCCCAACGGGTTGCGTGTGTTCACGCCCCAGAAGACATCTGACTTGACTATTACTGCTGAGCATATCGCATGTGTCAAAGAAGCCCGAGAGGGGAATGGGACCCCAGACGCCGAAGAACCGAATCAGAGAAAAAGGAAAAGAGAGGATGATTGATTCCTCGGCAGGCTGATTCTTGGACACGGAAGGGAGTTCAGGGTTTACTTGCGACAGGGGCACTCCAATGTGAATATATGAGTGAGGGTGAGGTAATGGTATTGATGTTGTTTGTGATTTCCTGCGATTGTCTACTGATGGCTTGGTTTGATGCTGAAGATGTTATCAAGACTTTTCCAGCTTGTTTAGATATGTTCACGGTTGCAGAGGAGGCCACTTCAACCTTCTAAGAAGAAGACAAGGGATAAATCAAGGGCAGTCAAGGGAGTGAATCCGATGGCAAGATCACGAAATCGAATCGAAACTTCTTTTGCTCTGAGCCTTGATCATTCCTGGGTCTATTGGCGAGTTTGTCTTGGGCTGGAATGGATGATACTACATGTGTGCTTTTGATATGCAAAGGATAGATGTACCTGCAACCCCTCACGGGTACGAGAAATCAGAGATTGTAAGCTATCTGGACTCTTATTGGCGATCGAGAATGCTACTAGAGCATATTCGACACCGGGCTATTCAGTCTAGGGCTTCTGCTGGACAAGTGTGGACAAAAGAGCATATTGAATTATCTCATCCCCCCTGCTCGTGTATACAAGTGAATATAAATACAGCCCTTTCTGGAATGGTAGTATTATGCTCACGTAAAGATATCAAACTGCCAAGGAACTAACCCGCATCTCACGCGACAGCAGATCATCTTATTGGGCTGACTGCCGTTATGTAAGTTGAGCGTAATGATCCTGACGCATTGACCCGACACATCATGTTTCACGTGGTAATGCTAAAGAGAGCCGTGGCATGTAATATGAGATTGGACCGTCCGAGGGACGAGGCGAAGTAGTGGAATTGAGGGTTGCATTGATGCAATGTAACCCTTGGCTGCTCGTGTTTGTCCTCAAAGAAGCCCATCCTGACTTCTTGGCTGGCCTCAGACGCCCTCTCCTGCTCTTTCAAGACTGGATTGTGTCGTGCCAAGGTACGAGTATCTGGATCCAGAAGGTAATGAGGTGAATTGCTGAGGGATGGAGGGAGCATGAAATGTATAAATACGAGCGGTAGATCGGTAGATTTTGAGAGTTCATCATCAAGGAACAAGCAAACATTTAACAGCATCCCACACTGTTATCATCTTCCTTTCATCATGATATTTCAAAAGACGTTCGCCGCAGCAGCACTGGCTCTCTTGCCTCAGCTCGCAGATGCCACTAGACTCTTCTACAACAGCGGCACCGTGTCAGGCTGGAGCGGCGAACCCTTCACCGAGAACAAGGGCACAGTCGCTGAAGTGACAAATGTCTACTCCAAGGGTCCCACGGCCCTGAAGATGACGCAGACCTATGACTCCAGCTGGAAGGGCAGGTATCACTCTGAAGTGAGACTGAACGACGGCTATAAGACTGGCGATGAGCGTGCCTATGCTTTCAGCTTCCGCCTGTCGGAAAACTGGCAGATTGTCAATGAAGGGTACAACATTGCTCAGTTCATCGCCGACCTGGCGGGCGCGTGCGACGACTGGATGCCCTCGACCATGATCTGGATCGAGGGCAACCAGCTGGTCACGCGTTATGTCAACGGCAACTACGTCGTACCCGAGTGTAGCCGCAAGATTGTGGGTTCTGGCAAGATCGCCACTGTTAGCCCGGGCAAGTGGCACAGGGTCATCGTCCAGGCCAAGTGGAAGAATGACAGCACCGGATACTTGAAGCTGTGGTTCGATGGCAAGGTGGTGTGGGAGAAGAGTAACATTGCGACCACGATCAAGGCCGATAAGCAGTTCCAGTTCCGTGTTGGACTGTACGCCAATAGCTGGCAGGATGGTATGGAGGGAAGCCAGCCGTTCCGGCAAATTTGGTATGACGAGGTGGCCATCGGAACTACTTTGGCAGATGTGCAGTGATCGACTGGAGATAAAGCACTCTCGTGGACTAGGCAGATAAGTCAGGACACCAATCGTCGGAGAAAAGGCGAGGCCATCTCATAGAAGTGAACCGAAATCGTAATATGATTTCAATTGCCACCAAGTGCTGCTGTCGTTGAAGCTGTTTCCTAAGGCCAAGCCCCCAGGCCAAATAACGAAAATCATCAGGCGGAAAGCCAGAGTTGAGTGAGACGTAAGACACGACTAGTATCTGAAACATCCAGAAAGTACCTCCACGGGCTCACACCAATATGTAACGCGCGACACATTGGATAATATACAATCGTCCCGTTTGGTTCATTGACATTCCTCAATATTAAGCCTGTCATCGAGGATATTGTGATCAGGATCCCATATATGGAAAACTGTAGATTGATTGATCAAAAGAAAGCAAAATCAGATGACACTTTTCGGGGTAGTGTCTCCAGCTTTCCACGACCCTGCCACACGCCGCCACCAGGAGTGAGCAATGAGCGGGAACGCGCGTAAAAGACTGATGAAAAAATAAGAAAGAAATATAATCAAGTACATAGTCATTGGGGAAGACGCCCCAAAGCTGCCCAAACCATCGGAACCCCAAGCATTATTGCAAAGTTCTCTTGCCGAGCACGTAGAAAAGCCAGGGGTGTTCTGGATTTGATCCTCAAGGCAGTGGTATGAAAATCCCTCATTCTCGTTTCTCTCTTGATAACGGATAACAATTTTGCGGAAGATATAGAGAGTAATGAATATCTGTATGGTTGTGACAATGCTCACGCAATACACGAGTATGAGTTGCGTCTTGGGCTTGTCTTTGAGACTGCATGAGTATGGGTGAAAACATAGACCGAATGCATATCGGTATGGAGCCACCCAGCTAATTAAGCTAACCAAAGCTTGGTCATCTGGGTTTGTGATGAATTTCGCTGCCGAGTACCACCAGAATCCTTGTGAACAGAGTTGATATACATTCAAAATCTAGTCTAGGGATGTGAGTCCCTTGCATCTAGAGGGGTGAACACGCGTGTCGATGTACAAAGTACGAGCTTGCCACAGCCCGATTAGGGCTATCATATTCAATATAGACCACGCCCAGAGTGAAGTGCTGAGAAAGCTTGTTAACTGTGGGAGAGAGGGAATGATCTTGTAGTCCTTAAAGCACGCGGCGACACTGCACCACGGTGCCTTGGCACAGTCCATGCACTCCTTAGAAAATAGTCTCCCGTCTGCTGATACCCCTGCTATACCAAAACCAATAACGGTTTTGTTAAAAAGTAAGGCACAGTCGGTCTTTTCCGGAACGGTTGCCGCACATGCCTCAAACCGAGAGTTTTTGTAGAGAAGGTAATCCAAGTTGCCAGGACTTGCATTGGTAGTCCTTGTGCTGATGAAAGCGGATACGAGAATAAGGAGTCCTGCCTGTATTAAGCCAAAGAAGATGATGAATCCCCAGAACGCCGTTACGCGGAATTTATTGCTCTCGAAATCCTCGACTCTCTGCACGCTATTGCCGGAATCAATCGGGCCCGCTGCTTGATCTCTTGAGGCCGGATCTTAGGCTGGTGTGAATATGGACTTGGATATTGAATCAGATGAAGAGCGAGAGCGTTGGTCGTTGTGTCGTTTCTACATCGTATGGATCAGCCTGGTAGTCATAATACATATGTTTTGGGCTGTGACGTTGGACGAGGCTGAGCTTGACTTTTGTATACGTACCAATATGTGGCGGAGTGGATAGCTTTAGACAGCTTTCTGTGTGTCTCGGCCTATCCCCCAGGATGACTATGCCTCAACAAATTGCGGTGTGCTAAACGCCGTTTTGAGTCTTGCTGATGATGTTCGGACAATTAACCGGCGCGATATAAGCTTCTGAGTGGGGTGGGTGGATTGAGACCACAAAGCCTGGAAGTGTTCGACATTGGGTGCATCTGTAGCTGTCTAAGACCGGCTTGGTGGGAAGGTGATTGCAAAACAAAAGAGCCTTAGGAGAATCCGAGGTCGCACCGTCGATCTGAGTTTCTGGGTCATCTTCGACTAAGACTAGGTTCCGCCGTACCGTCGACTCTCTGGAACTATCTTTTATTGTCCGTTTGCGCATACGGGTGTGTAAGGATTTTTTTAGGTCGCAACTCACGGATGGAATATAGAAGAAATTTGTAGCGTTTCTCGCTTCTTGGCCATTGCTGCCTGGATCGGCGGATGCGTCGTAGGGTCGGGGGAACTTTGGTCGGGTGTAGGAACATGCGTCAGGACATGTCTTAGTATATTGCTTCGAAGATTTGAGACCGGTCTTCAGATTGATTTTGACGATGCAATTCGGGCTCAAAAGAAGGGGGCGGTGCAAAGAATTGGGTTTTTTTCCTAGTAGAAAGATCCGAGATTTTTCGGGATAGGGATTACCGAAGACTAGAACGACACTCGCCAGCTAAAGGCATTTCATGGGCGAGTGCATGTGGGAAATCAGACCGTTTTTCTGTGAAGTTTGAAATTTCGCTGGAAATTTGTTAAGGACTGCAATCATTCAATTGATATCTGCTATGCAGCCGGAGGTGGAGGTGGAGGAGGCAGGAAGCAGTCACGTGCTGGCAGTTTCGGCCTGCACCTGCCTCGGGGAAGCGACAAGTTACCTGTACTTTCATTGATCACTCGTGAATTTTTTCTCCTTCAAGAGAGTACGTTAATTCACTAGATTGAATCAGACAGATTCTTATGAGCTACCGACGGCCAAGCTATCGCCCAACTTCGAGAACTATCTTTTCCACTTCCGAAGCTCCCAGTATCGCCCTGGCAGATAGACAACCAATGTGACCGCAGGGGACAGCATCCAGCTTATATCCGTTCCTGTAGGTGAGCCTCCAATAGCTGCAGCAATTGGTCCCACCCACCAGGCTTGGCTCATACAGAGGAAGGCAACAAGCGTTCCCAGGGTGAAACTGACGGCTGCGGCAATCCCCACAGGAAGCTTCTCCTTGTCGTTCCAATCCGTGAGATTGTATGTGAACCCCTTCCTCCAGATATAGTGCTCTGCTAACAAGACAGTCGTCATAGGAACTAGATAGTACGCGCATATATTGGCAAAGTTTGTCATGACGCTCTCGAGGTGATCTCGCCCTGCAACCGCACATACCAAGAAGACAACCCCTCCAACAACCGTGAATATGAAACGAGGTACCCGAACCGCCTTCTCCGTCATCATTTGGAAACTGAGACCAATCGAATACATCGAAACGACACCCACGGCTGCCGTTGAGAAGGATAAAACGATCTGGACAAAGGTGCCCAGTCCGCGAACACCGGCGCCGCGATCAGCAAACGTTTCTTCGATCAAACCACCGAGTCCGAGCGAATCATACGCGCGCCTAAACCGTTCATCTGGACTCGAGATCAATGTGCCCAAAGCAGCGCCCAGTGCTTCGAGCAAGAACTGGCTGAGGAAAAGGCCGCCGTAGGAACAGGCGACAACGGCCCAGTCATTGGTTTCCTCGTTCATATACACGCTGTAGTCCGCCGCACAAGGAACCCATGCAACCTCGCAGCCAATTATTGCTGTACCGAAAGCTAAGACGGAAGCAGTTTCCTGTGACCCGGAACCCATGGGAATGTTTTCGAAATGTGAGCCGCCGAAACCAGCAAGAATAACAAAACAGCAGAGCATGACAAGCCAAGCATATCGTTGATAGGCATGGATGTAGTCGTATCCGAAAAGAGCGATAATAATAGATACCGCCCCGATCAGAATAACGCAGACTGCCTTTGGGAGCCTCCCACCACCAACAACGAAGAGGATGTCACCACCCGCGAGGGCATTCACGATGGCCCACCCCATTTGAGTGAAGATGTTGAGCAGGACGACTACCTTTGCCGGCCACCAACCAAAAGAGAAGCGCGGCATGATTAGTGTCCGAAGGCCAGTTCGGTGACCGAAAGCTGTGACTATCGCAGGGAACACTGCTCCAATAAGGTTGAAGAAGAGCACGCAGAGAAAAGAGTCCCACCACCCCAAGCCGAACAAGGTTGGTCCGAGGTACCCCAGAGCCAGTGCCGTCGTGCAACAGTTGAAACTAAAGAATGCGATATATAGCGACCACGGGCTTTGATTTATTCTTCGAGATTCGGGAACCCGCTCGATGCCATACTCCTCGGCTCCGATGCTCCGGATCCATTGACGAGATTTCTCCCAAGAGGATGATTCGACCACCGTGCCTTCTGCGATTGAGCTTGATTCAACATCGGGGCAATAGGCTGTTGGTATATCCACGGCAGAGTTTGTCTCTTTGCGGTTCTCCATGTCGGCGGCGCGGGGACGAGGGGGACTTTAAACGGATTTCGTTGATCCGCGCCAGAAATCGACGAGGGCCCGGGGGGGTATTGGGCCAGGGAGAAAGGAGCACTCTTATAGGACTGGACTCTGACACATTGTCTTGGTCTTGTCCCTCAAGACTCAGAAGTGCGCGCGTATGCCTTGAAACAGGGTGTCACCAGAAACACCTCCTTTCTCAGCCAACCGCTCTTGGGCATGATTATGAAACCCAAGCCAGCTAAGGTTATCCTTCGTCATACCTGTCAGAAACTTGCTCTCGATGCTCAATACTTGGAAGCCAGAATCCCTTTAGGTTGGCTTGTCTTACGGATGAGAGTTCGATGATAAATTTAAAAGCAGCAATGAAAGATGCCAGACCGACATCTCAACGCAATGGATGGTTGATTTGTCTTAGATCCCGCATTCGAGTCGAATTCTAAACGTCAGGATCTAACCCCTTATTTTGCTAAGATCTGTCACAATACACGCCTACCGTTATCCGATCTCAGCTCCAAGACTCTCAACCACTTTTCCAGTCGATCGATCAGCAACAGACTTGAAGTCACATGCCATTGTTCTCTCCCCCGCCGTATTGTCCGTTACTACACTTCTGCTCGCCAGGGATGGGATTCAGGCGTCGAAATCATTTGTTAAAACTTCTCAACGGCAAGATATTCTTTTGTTTCCTCAAGCTCACGTCAATAAATCTCAAGCAACACAGCTGCTGGTTCTAAAATGTTTTTTTTTTTGAAACAACGAACACGGTTTTGGGACAATTGTTCCGAAAGATTCATCATACGCCCGCAAGGCTGTCAAACTTGCTAGCCATCTGATCAAATTCATGACGGCCGAATGGATGATAAGAATCAGAGTCATTCAAGATATCCATAAGTGGATGCATTCTCTAGGACACAATCAGTCGTGTGGAGGCTTGTGAGAGGAAAGGCAGGCTGACACCATTGATAAAGACGAGCGTGTGCACTCCAGTTGCTTGATAAAGTGCTACGATCGACTTGAGCTCCAGTGTACGGTACACAAGACAAATAAATGTTCCCACTGCTGACGTGGTGGCGCCTCTGTCTTAGCGCCTTTCGGCCACCAACGTGAGATCCTGAAACTTGAAAGGTAGTTGACTGAACTGGAGCTGGGCGTGGGCAGCAATGTGCAAAAAGCAAGGTATCTATATTCACTCTTGTGTCACTTTATATATGAGAAACAAGAATTGATTTCTTTCAAATTGGTTCAAGGGCCTGTTTATCCCAATACTATGATTTTATCACGGCGTGGCTACTAAGACTCTTCAAAATGTTTTCAGAGCTTGGACCTGACGTCAGAATTGAGATACTTACTTCTGAATAGCCAATAAACCATCTTTGTATTGATTTAAGGATGAGGTCCTGAGTCCATTTAGTAAATACAAACAGATCAGTCTCCAACTTCAGTCCGGCTTTGCTAAGGATGATTCGCATCCCACCCCAAGGTCGCAAAGACCCAGAGGACTAAGATACTCGTTGGAAGCTGACGACATATAGAAGAAGGAGAAAAAAAAAGAAGGAAATGAGAAATGAAAACAAAGAAAAAAAAAATGCTTCTGCTCGAACCGAGGGCCTCTCCTAGCCCCCGTAATGCGATCTCTCGCCTACCTCGTAAGATATGGGGAAAATGCGGGCACTCAATAGCTGACGCAGGGCGAGTACATCGTAGGGCCAGTCTTCGGAGCGCGCTGAGCAAGGGGCTATCGTTCTTGTTGAATGGAATGCCCGGGGAACTTGTATATAAAGTGTTGGTAAACTGGTTTACCGCTGGGGCGGAACATGTTATTGGGGCTGCCAACTTTCGATTATACACAACCCTCAGCTCGTCAATCCAAGCCTCAGTGGGATCCTGCGATACCACCGGTTTTTTTTGTTGGAATGAGTCTTTTATTATTGAAGTATGAACGCAACCGTTAAATAAGCCTTCTCGCAAGACACAATTTCCTTCGTCATGCAACTCCAGCGTACGAAACTTTGTATGCGCTGAGCCATCGACACTTCTCTCGCCGTCTTTATGGGTAGGTGATTAGACGCAAAAATTGCTATCTGGAGGGCGAGTATTCCCATATCCTTCTTTTGGGGAAGCATGATTCCGGAAGACACAGAAGCGGGACACCATCCAGCGTCCAAAGTGGGATTTCCTCCTCTGGGATCACGCCCTCATACGCTGGTATGCTCTTGCTTGCTGGGTCACATCCGAAAACGAAACCAAAGCACTTCTCTTCATCAAGCTCCAACCCACTAGAGAATTCACCATATTCAAGCGGCTTGGCACCAAGCTTAATCAGGCCTCTCACGAATGAACGTTGAAGCTTGTATCTCATGGTATCGGGGTTGAGATCTTGCCTGAAGGAGCTTGATACGGCTTCCAATATAGACTCGAGCTTTCCACCCCACAAAGCCGTACATCTGGGGTTCGCGCCCTTTTCGATCAGCTTTCGTATTGTAAGAGCATGTCTCATGTTGATGATGCCACGGTTCAATCTGGCCACCAGAAGATAAGGAGTGTTGATTTCAGGAGAATCAAGGTCCAAATTAAGTGCATCCCTCACTATTGACTGAAGAAGATGGGAGAGCATACGACTTAGCCTGGGAGCATCGTGGGGATGAAAGCCTATCGTCATTATATCCACCAGCGCTGCCCAGCGTGCGAGGATAACTTGTCGTTGGCTCAAGGTTAGAGCAGACTGGGTTTGCGAACATGTACATTTGCATACTGTGAGGTAGTGTTTGAGCATCGAATCAACTGCGCCTTTCCTGAGCAGGATTTTCAGCAGTGAGAATGCCTCATCGTGGAGCAGCCCTCTCTCACAGTCCCATTTTCTCCAGGCATACCAATACAAGGGACGGATACAGCCCTCAGACAAATCTTCACGCCTCCAGAAGACTATTTTCCTTAGAGAGGCGCCCTTCTGAAACAGATACTGCAGTCCCTGTGATGCTGACAGAGTCCCAGGCTTAGTAGGCTTGGTGTAATCGACAGCAAGAACATATACAAATACGGCATCCACACCTGTAAGCCCCTTCGGGTCTATCACCCATCCTTCCGCCATGGTGTCGCGGGTTCGTCGCCCAAATTGGAAGCCAATCTCCGGCGTGTCTTTGGCGATGTCTATCTGGGCTTCTAATAGCACATCCATCATCTTCGTGGATCCGGATGAGGCCATCTGGTGTGCAGCAATCAGAACGAGCCATTCTGCTGTCGTCGGAGTAATGCTAGGGATGACCGGGGGGACGAATAGCATCAGGCGAAGCCAGTCATATCCGTAGTATGCGCGCAATAGAAATTCTATCGGATGGTTGTGCCAAGAAGGGGCGAAGCTGGCGAGAAATCTAGCAACTGAGATCGATTCTAAGAGAACGAATGTTACTACCGCACTCTTGACTCCCTCATCTGTGTTTTGCAACAAGCTGAGATGAGGGTTGGCGCCCTTAGCCCACCAGCCACTCTCGTCAAGGCCGGCAATTGAACCAACTGGTTCAATCAATAGTCTGTCGATGGATTCCTCGTGGTTTGTAATATCATGGACCAACCCGTTTTTTATACATTGATGCAAGAGCTGCATCCGGTGTGGATCCAACAAGAATTTGGACATTGACGGCCATCTTAAGTCACTCAGAATACAAGGATCGATCCGCGCACCGTGGTCTAAGAGAAACTGAAAAGCAACTTCATCACCACTCTCAGCAACAATGGCAAGGGTAGAGACTCTGGTGAGCCTCTTGGTGGGATGGTCTCGCAAGGGAAGCCCGAATTTGGTTGATGTTGAAGGGTCAGCCTCATCAATCTCGATGATACTAGCATCAGCGCCGTAAGACAAGGCTTTCTGGATAAGAAGACGGTCTCCTTGAGAGCAACCCCAATACATTATTGCGGTGTGCAGAAGATAGAAGTTTAACAGTTTGTTGATGGTCTTGTCGCATTGGCTCAGCATTGACAGTTCAGCCAATGAAAGATACGACCAAATCTGCCAGTTGATTTCCGCTGGAAGCTCATTTATTTTGCAGGCCATTGTCTTCCGGGATCTGGTTTTCAAAGACTGCTCTGCGTTGATATTTCTTGTTAACCCCCTCAGTTTCGGTGGCGGGCGCTTGTTTGATGTAGCATGTTCGGTGTCGCGCAGTCCCTGGTGACGCGTGTTTGTAGCTTTGTATCGATGCCTTGAGCTTTACTTGTCACCATTCTTCTTCTTCTTCAAAGTAACTTCCAGCTTGTGGTTTGATGGAAGGCCCTCTTGGTTGCGCACCGACAAAAATCAATGGAGCAGCATGATTTCGCATAAGCAACACCTCAACTCTAAAGGAGTCATGCTGATGACTCACCAGCTAAACCAACAGACCGCAGCTTGCTAGAACTGATTAGGTAACATTCAGGCCAGAAAGATGGAATTACCGCTTCTGGCATGATAAGCTGACTGGATGCCAAGGCATTGACCGGTACCAAGGTCAATCTCCCGAGTCACCTCTCTTCAATCCCCACTAATCATGGCTGGGGATGGTCTGGCGGGAGCAGGGTTGAATGGCCACTGAGAAAAGTAGACAGTCAGACGCTCGGGGGATGGCATGGGGTCTATTCCAGGTATTGTATTGTACGATCCACCTCTGAGGAATTCGAGCGACAAGATATGATTTCAGCCTGCAACAATCAGCGAATCAGCATCCGTGAAGACAGAACGTGACTCATCAGGAGTAGCTGGATCGATTGGCCTAGAATACCAATGAGCCATTCTGCTTTGGCTCGAACCTTGCCCCGGTTGATTGAAGTGATGATATCTAAGTTGGAAGTAAGCATGAGACTATCAAGTGTTGAGAGTTTACTAACGCAATTACTTAGACTGAGATAGGGCCCTCGCATACCTCGCAACGCCGTCTCCGTTACCGGAATTCCCCAAGTAAGCGTCAATACCTTCATCTTATTCATGTGCTTGGAATCGCCCATTTTCAGATACTCCATGCCCTGAGGTACGTTGAGGCGGAAATAGCGACCTAGAGCTGCAAGGTCAAGCCCTTCCTTGCCCGGTGAAAGCTTGTCCGCTAATATGCCTGACGCGTTTGTCATCATCTCCATTGCTTGTTTGAGGAGTCGATCAGAAATCGATAGAATTCTAGCCAATACGAGGAGCGCGCCGTGCATGATGAACTGTACGAAGAGACTGATATTATGTGCACAAGCAGGCCGATAATCAACATCGAGCCATTGTCATCTGCATGATGGTTGGGCTGTTTGGGCACGAAGAGGGGTCAAACATGTGTCTTGAAACCGCCATGTTCCTCCCCATAGAAACAGGGACATTTCCCCCCGGCCAGCACGTGCAAAGTGCAAAGACCGTCTCAGGAAGGGATCATTGGCCGAGGTCTTGCCCCGTCAAAGTTTTCTTTCACGGTCCTATTCTTTTAAGCTGCAACAAAGCTAGTTGCATTGCCTGGCGGTTGAAGTTTCTCATATTCATCTGGTCCAAGCCAGTCACCAGCAGCATAACCGGCTGTCGGTTGCTAAATGAAATGCCATAGTAGAGAAAAGAAAGGTGTCTTACTCAACACAACAGGAACGCCAAGACTAGTGTCCCTGGTTAATCGTGCCTGGACAGTGATTATCTCTCAACACTGAAGGAAATGGAATGGTTACCGCCCATGTTACAAAGCCATCTCATGCATTGCTGTATCTCCGCCGCCTATTCACGCACTTGACTAACAATGACATCAAAATATCATGATTTGCGAGCGGGGAGCAGCTTGGCAGTTTCTCGGGTATCAAACCCTCCGATATTATATGGGCCAAACAACTGGTGCATGGCCAATGGGAAAATAGAGCTGCCTCACAGCATCTCATGATCGTCAATGGCGAGCGGAATCTCTGTCCCGCTGTGGAGCAAACTGTGGTTCTGAGTCCGATAGCAACATCTCATTCGTCTCCCTTCCCGCCATCAGATTCATGCGCCGGCGTACGGATGGCCATCCCCAACGACCAGAGGGTCTCCTCTCACCGTCCGTGCTTGCGGTGGGCGCGGCATGCAGAGACAGTGAGTCGATGATTCAAAGACATCTCCACGGCTGCAAGAGAGGGTTCCTTGTGACTGGTCTCTCGGGGTCCGATGTGCAGACGCCCACCGCTCAACTCGGATGAGCCTACATATTGATGCTGTGGCTTGCAGGAATATTCACCCGTTCCGTGTATCATGACGGAGATGTCTCGGAATTTTGTTGGGCGCGGGGAAAGCGAGAAAGGACGTGACGAGTCTGCGAAGGATAGTTCGAATGCCCCTGGTATAAAATGTGTTCTCATATTGTCGTCGGTTTCTGATCTCTGTGCCTCGCACAGATCCTAGTCACACTTGAATGAATGAAGACGCCCAGCACAATAATGGCCTCGAAGTCGTTGTTCAAACTGTCTTCCATTGCCTTCGGACTCTTGGCCTGCCTCCGGAACGCTCATGGAGCCGCTCTAGAGTCTCGGGGCCCTCATGACGACTTCGAACAGGCTTCTTGGCCTTCTCAGCGTTGTAAACTCACAGGGCCCATCTATCCTGAGAATGATGAACTTCCCTCCGCGGAAGACCTCTTCGGCGGCCCATCGGCATTCGCTAAGCAGCTCGATCGTCACAGAGAAATAGTCAAGGTGGATTCCATCTGTTACGATGACCTCGGACCAATTGGCGATGATAAGCGCTGGGAGAGCTTTGACAAGCTCCAAGAGGTCCTCGAACGCTTATATCCGCTCATGTAAGCACATATAACGTAGATATATCATGCGTCTCAAATTTGACTGGCTCACCTTTCATGCAGGCACGACGAAGACAAAGTCCAGTTTGAAGTGGTCAACACCTATGGCCTGGTCTATACCTTCCACGGCCAGAATGAGGACCTAGCACCCGTTCTGCTGACAGCTCATCAAGATGTCGTCCCCGTCGGCGACGAAGCGGACTGGACCTATCCACCATTTTCCGCCGAGTATGACGAGGAAACAGACTGGATGTGGGGTCGAGGCGTTGTACGTAGTCCCTGGTCTGAAGTCCACCTTACTTGATACATGAAATCGCTGATACTGAACGTCTCGCTTAGGCAGATGACAAGAACCGCCTCACAGCGCTTATGTCTGTCTTCGAAGAGCTCTTGGCAGTCGACTGGCAACCGCAGCGTGGCTTCGTCCTTGCCTTGGGCTTTGATGAGGAGTGCTCTGGTCTCCGCGGCGCATGGAACATTAACGATGCGCTTATTGATAAATACGGCCAAGACGCATTTGGAGCCATTATTGACGAAGGCGGCCTCGGCATAATCGATTTGGATTTCGGCCGTGATCCGCCGGTACGTTATGCACTCCCCGCCGTGACGGAAAAAGGTTTCGTCAATATCTGGCTCGACCTCCAGGTAAAGGGTGGCCACAGCAGCATTCCCACACCGCACACGGACATCGGCATCATGTCGGAGATAGTCGTGGCCCTGGAAGAAAATCCATTCTCCCCCAAAGTAGAGTGGAACAGTCCCGTCCACAAGAGCTTGCAGTGCCTCGCACGTTACTCGCCCAACGCGTTCCCATCCATCACACACCTGGTTGACCACGGAAATTTGTATAAGCTCGCCGAGGTAGTTTCGTCCTTGGATCTCGCTGCGGCGGCTCTGGTTCAGACCACGCAGGCGGTGAACATCATTTACGGCGGCGACAAGATCAACTCGCTCCCGGAGCTGACCACCGTTGGCATCAACTACCGTGTTGCGCCCCAGGACAGCGTGTTGGCGATCCAACACAATATCGTCAAGTATGCGAGCAGCGTCATCGAAAAGTTCGGGCTGGATCTCAACGCCTATGAGGGCGATGATGAGTACCATCACTATGCTGCTTCGCTTGGCGGGGGCCACCACCACAGGAAGCCGCGCCGTGGCATCGACTATGAGGGCACCTTGACCATCAGAGCGGAAAAGAAATTCAATGGTGCCCCTGTGTCACCCACTGACGACGAGGCATGGCGCATTTTCGCAGGCACCATTGAAGCCACCTTCAAAGAGCCTGGCCTTACCGTCGTCCCAACGGGAGTGATCATGACAGGCAATACAGATAGCAAGCATTACTTAGGTAAAGCCCCCTGAACCATACTCGCCCTGTGTTTTTGAGTCTAGATCTTGCTGACCGCTGTTCTACCAAATAGAGCTGTCAAGGAATGTTTACCGCTGGAACCCGCACCCCGCGTTCGATATCGAGAATATCCACGCTGTGGATGAGCGCCTCAAGATGAGTGCCCATATCGGTATCGCCAAATTCTACTACAACCTCATTCGTAACTTTGACGAGGCCGAAGATTTACTCAAACCGTCTCACAAACAGAAACAGCAACAGCAACAGCAAGAGCTCTAAGGATGTTGATGACTGTGTTGGCGGAGGGGTGTCTCATAGCTCAGAATTGTGAAGAGGGCCGAGTGTGTAGACAGATGCGGAAAGTACAGGTTACACTGTAGTTCGGTCCGGTTGATTGCTCGCCAAAGTAGCTTGTTCTTGGCCGTCCTATGCGGGATTATCAGGTGTATCGTAGCTTAATAATAGTACCGTTGTTGAGCCCATGTGTGTGAAGATAAGAGCGATGAAAGGGAATAATATGTCGTGTCTGCTTAATCTTAATAGGGTCGGTGATGCCAAGCTTGCTTCCCCGCATCACCGGATACGACATTGCGCAGCATCTTGTTGGTCCGCGATGAGGGGAAATGCTCCTGCATGATAACAGACGCCGTTCAAATTAGTGGTGACCACCCCAGCTGTGCACGGATGGCAATAAGCTAATCACCGACCATCGTATGAGCTTATCCCTCCCCTATAGGCTCCAATGCGCGACAGAGTTGGAGATAACTTCACTTTTGGGTCGAGACCGGACTTTGGGCCCGGGTTTTATGTCTTTTCGGAGTTAATGGACCCCGCTTCTTATTCATCATGACATCGGCTGCGCCAGAGTTGATGCATCATTCCATGGTTGAGCGATATAAAGTTCGTGGCGTGACTATATATTCTTGAGGGGGCCTCCTTGCTATGGTCCAACCGATTGAACCTTTGTCGTAATTCGAATCCAACCAGAAACAACTCCGGGCACAACCATCTTGCAATATGTCTGTCTCCATCGCGCTACCATTTGCACCGGCCGCCAAGACGCCCTTGGGACGGCATCGACTTCTCTCGCCCAAGGCGTCCATCCGCGTCAGCCCCCTGTGCCTCGGCGGCATGAGCTTCGGCACTGCGTGGAAAGATTACAGTACGTATGAAGCAATGGTGATGTCATGTGCCGTTGAGCTCGGACTGACCATGACACAGTGGGTGAATGCGACCAGGCTACCACGGAGAAGATCCTTGACTTCTTTTATGAGAATGGAGGCAACTTCGTTGACACCTCGTGCAATTACCAATTCGGCCAGTCTGAGCAGTGGATCGGCGAGTGGATGAAGAAGCGCGGCCTGCGCGACGAGATGGTGATTGCCACCAAGTTTACCACCAATGTCCGCTCCGGCGAGGGTGACAAGAAGATCATTTCCAACTTCCAGGGTAATGGACCCAAGAGCTTGCGTCTGGCTGTCGAGTCTAGCTTGAAGAATCTGCAGACTGACTACATCGACCTTGTTCGTAACCAAGTCCCCGTATTGCCGTAGCTGCGCCGCTAATGTTGTTGACAGCTTTACGTGCACTGGTGGGATTACTCCAGCTCCATCCCCGAGTTGATGCAGGCATTGAACCATCTCGTCGCCTCCGGCAAGGTTCTCACCCTGGGTATCAGTGACAGCCCGGCTTGGGTAGTCAGTAAGGCTAATGAGTACGCGCGAAACCACGGCCTGGCCCAGTTCTGCGTCTACCAGGGACGATGGAGCGCCTCACGACGAGATTTCGAGCGGGAGATTATCCCCATGTGCCAGAATGAGGGCATGGGCCTGATTCCCTGGGGTGCCTTGGGCGGAGGTACTTTCAAGACCGAGGAGCAGCGTCAAAAGGCTAGCAAGGAGGGTCGACAGGTGCAGGCGCGAGAGCTTGATATCCAAGTCAGCAAGGCCCTCGAGGTCGTGGCCAAGAGAAAGAACACTCTGGTCACCAGTGTGGCGCAAGCTTATGTGACCAGCAAGGTCCCCTACGTCTTCCCTCTAGTAGGTTGCCGTACCGTCGATCATCTCAAGGGGAACATTGATGCACTGAGTATCCGGCTGAGCGATGAAGATATCAAGGAGATTGAGGCAGCGTCGCCGTTCGAGGTTGGCTTTCCGCATGATTTCCTTTTCCGCAATGGACTGCCTCAGACGGTACAGGATGTCATGTTGTTGGGTATGGGGGGGTCGTTTGACTATGTTCCCGACGCGAAGTCTATCACTCGGGAGTGAGCGCAAGCAAAACGGAAGTAGTGATAACAACCTAAGCAGCAACAGATGTATTTATCGGCGAAGAAAACTGTTGATGATGTATGAATTCATAGTGTGATTCGCATTCAAATGATGGTCGTTCAACTGAAATCCTCGTTCGAATGATGGCCGTTCAAATGATGCCCGTTCGAATGATGTCCGTTCACAATCGCTGGTATTGCCCAAATATAATTTGCCAAGTCGTCAAACAGAAACAATTCGCGCCGGGTACTTGCTCTTTCCAGCATCCTCCCGAACTAGCCCTCATTGTAGCCAGTTGTTATATAAAGGTCTTGTGAATCTTGCTTCTCGCGGCTGAGGAAAAAAAACTTGTTGTAATTAGAACACTTTCACGCCAGGTTTGAGACGGGCGTGGAACGCAGAGAAGACGTGCTTTTCCTCGTGTGGATCTGTTGGAGGTCGAACAACTGAGTCTGTTGGAATGATGGTCTCAAACCTCTATGGCAAGAGGATCCTCTCCCCGACTTTCTCTCCAGTGATTCGTTGCTGTGATTAGTTCACCACAACCTTCAAGCAGGAACCCCCATTTCTGAATAAAGCCCTCGCTCGCTTCCCATCCGGAAGCAGACCACGGCTCGCCCCAGACTAGCCAGCCACGGTGCTCGAGGCTATCAAAACCCTCGTACAAGTTTTTTCCCATATCGTAGTTGAACTCTCGACTGTCGTAAGTGCCTGAGAGGCGGATAAGGTTGTCCCGCATCCTTGGGAAGGGAAGAACTTTGATCCAGTACGGGTGAGGTATAGACTGTTGGAGTTGGGTGGGTTGGAGATTAGGGGGAACGGTCTGAGGCGGGAAAAGGCTGAGAGGGATAAATGCTCGCGAACCGTTGCACTCGTCAGGGAGGCAGTCGAGAAGATGAAGGATGGCCATATTCATGAGCCCCGCCCGGTGGCAGTTGTATTGAATCATGGTGATTAAGCGGTGGTCTGGGGAAAGTGGGAAGACAACTTGTATCGGGCCTTTCTTAAGCCACTCGTCGGTTGCGTAGGGTACCAGGCCAGGTGCAACTACCTCCCTTGTGGGCTTGCTGGTGAAAGCTGGATAGCTGTCGAAAGAGTAATAAGTGATCCCACTAAGGCGGGCCAACTCCAAGGGAACATCGACGTCGGGGGGCGGGTCAGGTTTAGGCTGTCTTGCCGTTACTAGGAGACCATAACCGATCCAGGAATCACCGAGAGCTTCCGGTTCGCTCGATCTGTCCTCGGTGGCTCTTTTCTTGTCACCTTAGGTGCAGGTCAGTGGATCGGTCTTGTGCATGGCGTGGGGACGGGGAGGCTCAATAGTACGCCAGATTCTCTGCCGAAGGCGATTCTGCCGTTTCCGTCTTTCGATGGGGTCTGTAATCCCACGCCAATCATCCTCTCGCGTTGTGATCTAGCAGCAACAAAGCCAGTCAGTTCACACACGATGATCTAGGCCTGGCTCTGCGCAGGTCTCTGTTCGCCATACATACCATATCAAGCGAGGGTTGGGTCAACATTCTCCCGTTTTCTGGTCTTCGTAGTGTGACTTGCATCGTATCAGAGGATTTCTTGCAATGGCAAATCGTGTGGATTTAGGAGTATGATGTGGAAGGAGATGGTAGAGCCGCAAGATGGTCAGATAGTGCATTGCTCTTAGATTACGTCAGCATGGTCCAGTTCGAGGAAGGAGTTCCTGCCTTAGTACTCCGTACTGGGGACCTGGTAGAAATAGCGGCTGGCCAATGGAACCGATCCACTGGCTCCAGCACTTATGCAAGCTCGTTACGCGCTAAGAGTGAATCGGGATGGCCGGCCCACCATGATCCATGTCCTTGTATCTGATTGGTTTATTCTGCAACTTACCCTAGAGCGCTTTTTCTCAAAGCCTCCTCCTGACAAGTAAGTTCACAATACGTACACAGTAGCACGAGGTATGTTACAATCAGCTCAGAATTTGGTGTCGTTACCTCTCAACGGGTGACTGAACCTGGATATCCAGTCCAAGATCTATCACATTTACTTATCGTGTACCCTTCTTCCACCCTCCCCAGTAGCCCGTCATGATGGTTGCCGGTCGTCTCTTGTCAACCGAGACTTGGGAAAACCGAACAACTTCTCCAAAGGCAATTTCATCCATACCAAAAGGTGTCGCTAGGCAGTCTTAATCAGCTTGGCCGTCCCATCTTAGTTCAAAAAACTAATCTTGATCGGTTTGCTAATCATTCTTCTGAAAAAAAAACAACAGTATCGACATAGTCGTGGGAAAGCAGTTACGAAGCTTTCTCAGGTATGATGACTATCATCTGCGCTCCGCCGATGTGTATCAGGTTCCATCCGAGGCCTTACGTCTTCTGCCACAAGTACAGCTTCTTCTCCACGATGACATCCACCGAACTACGCTTTCCACGCTCGTACCGTTCATCAAGTAAACTGCCCGCCCAATTACCCGACGGGGCTCTTTTTCTCTAGGAGAGAGGCTGGATTCTTCCCCCAGTCCCATCATCAGATCGCGATGTCGGCTTGAAGAAGAAGCTCGCCAAGGTCACGGTGGCCAACAGTCCTGTCAAGAGTCCGTTCCTCACAATCTATGTTCTTCCAACGCCCCTCACTGTGTTGTCTTTCATTGTGTTAAAGGTTTAAAAACTTTTTTTATTAAGGCTATCCTCTGCCGAACCCTGATTTCTTCCACGTCTTTTCCTCCCTTCTTGTGCCACCGGCCTCCCTACTTGTTCTTCTCGTTGACGGCATTCTGCGTGAATGACGCCGCCTTGGGCACAAGGAATTGGAACCACTCCAACCCCTGGCTCCGTAATGCCGAGATAGCGAAGGCTGCGGGCGTGTCAGTGTTAGTGCTCTGGCCAAGGGGCTACTGATACTCACTGGGTTGGTTGACTCGCGCTCGGTTGAAGTGTGTGGATTGGCGTAAGACAAACGAAGGAAGCCAGGTGAAGAGGGCAGCTTTAGTAGTCATTCGACGCGCAGCTCGTCCTGACGGCAAGCGAGTCATCGGCATGAAGGTTTACAGAATTTTCTGCCGTATGACTGCATCCTTGGGCTAGCAAAGCTTTTTTTTTTTTTTTTTTTTTAACCTTTCGTATTCATTGTGTTGAGCTGTTGGGTCTGACTTCTTCTTTTGTTTTAACTTTCTATCAAAATTCTCTCCGGGATGTTCTTCCAACGCACCGAAACAGAGCGCATTCGCGGCAAGCAGCCCCGTTTGCCCTGATTCAGGTGCCTGAAGTCCTGCCTTGGAGGCAAGAAAGAGCTTCACCTCGCTCAGGGAGGATGTTTTGACCAGCTCTTCTCTAATGGCGAACTCGTACCTCAAGAGGACGCCTTGGGTGCCGACACCAGTTGCCATCCCTGTACAACAGCAAGTGACTGACATGGAATGTGGCATACCCAGATCCTCGAGCGTTGAATTTCAACACAATGTCAAAATAATGTCAAAACAATCAACCAATAATGGACACAATATATTGACAATGGCTTATAATTAACTCGATATTATGTTTAGTATTATTAACAAGAAGGTAAAGTCCTCTTACGAGAAATTGTCTTTTTAGCCCATGCTTACGAAACCAAGATCAAAATAGCAGCCACGAAGAGTCGGTTATGACTGAGCTCGAAATCATATCAGTCAAGTGCGGCTGATGGAGGACATCCTTCCACGATATTTGGGCGTCCTGAGAATCCTCTTGACCCTGGTCAATTTCTGCACCAGGATGCACGGAAGAGAAAGAGAACGAAGTTCAACAACAATGAAGAGCTGCCAGGGCCCGACAACTCAACGCAATGAATACGAAGCAGCAGGATGCACAAGGCTCGGTTTGCTGTCAAAGAGGTCAAGTCGGTCCGGTCTGTTTTGGATAAGCAGTGGAAGTGGTCGTTGGGGGCTGAGCGGGAATCTGGAAGGTCGAACCCTACAGGTTGACTTGGAATTCGCGAGGTAAAGGTAGCTTGGAGGATGGGGAACCGAACATCCAATGATCTGACGGCTCCCCGAGCATGCTCAGTGATACCTGGAGTTGGCTTGTTCGTTGTAGGCCTCGATCGACTAGCGCGTATGCTATCCCAACCGTCATACGAGCTCTTTCTTGTAAGCCATCTGCCGGCTATCAATACACTGCACAAAGACTATGACTACGGTGCTGATACCTTGCATCCGACAAAGCGAGGAGACACAATGCTTGGAGCACCTCCAGTTTGCTGACTACATCCAAAGCCAGTTTCATGGCAGCCTGGCAACTTTTCATGTAAGTATCGCTTTAGGAAAAAAGACTGAAGGTTAAGACACAACTCGGTTATTCAAAAGCTGAATTTATTTCGACAGTTCCGTGGGAACTGATACTCCTGCTGTTATTGTTGTCTACTAAGTTACCAATATTAGGACCTACTAAAACTAAAAACAAAGAACATTGTACAAGGACTGCCTCCACCGTCCAATCTATCTAAGCACAGGATTTGTTACAGAGATTAACTGAATCTTAGTTCGTCGGCCATGCCAGGATCACGGCTCTTGCTGATCGCCCCCTTACGCCTTCTTTGTCTTTTACTCCTTCTTAGCCCGGGGCACCCTCGCCAGCCAGTAGACCAACAATACCACGCAGATGTTGAACACGGAAAAGACGACTAGGAACCCAAAGCCCCTCCACCAGTGCTCGTAACTGACACTGACCGACGCCAGGAACTGGCTCGTCTCCGTCACAGGACAGTACTCGCACTCTGTAGCATTAGAGTCCACGATGTAACCCCCAGCCTCTGAGAGGAATGGGGCCGTATACTCAGCGCAGGTCGAACCCTCGGGGGCGGTGAAGTGAATGAGCTCGTTGTCTGCGCAGTACATAGGAGCGTTGCCAAGACCAGTGCCGAGCGGGCCTTCGATAATGTAGGTGACGGGGTTCACGCGATACATGAAGATCCAGAAGCGGGGGAGAACATTTGGTCCAGCCAGGACGCTGTGAAGGCAATGGGTTAGTGTTGGGTACCTAATACCACGTAGAACGAGTAACTCACCCGCAAAAAGTGTACATCATGACCATCAAGAGGTTGCCGATGCCGCCGGCAATGTCCGCCGTCTCGACACCGGCGATGAGCATGTGCGCAAATGTCGTCGTGCACATGAGAAAGATCCAGAGCTGCATGAGCACGGTGATGCCTCGTGAGTGCACCGAATTGGTTCGCTCGGCGTTCCTGAAGAGGCTGACTGGGTAGTACCAGTGCAGGAAGGCGAGGAGCGTCATAAGCTGCCGAAGTAAGTGATTAGGTCCAGTACTGTTCAAACACCCTCTTGGTGACTTGGCGGTACTGCTCGACAGAAGAAGCGGCGAACTCCTTGTGCTGGGTGGAATCGAACTGGCTTTCGGTGTGCCCCGCGTCCGTCGCGAGCCTCGTGAGCTCCTGCTGTGCTTTCTGGTACTCGGGACTGCTCCTCCAGACGGCCGGCCAGTCGATGTCGGTGGTCGCGTCGGGAGCAGCGCTGATCACGTCAAGCATGTATTCGGCCGGGTTGGCACCGGTAGGAAGGTCGTGAGCTCCATTCCGCGTGAAGTAATCGACGAGCGTGCAGGCGCCGTCCCCGATATCTCCAAAGTAGATAGTCTTAGCCATTGAAAGCAGTAGCAGATGGCCAAACCGTTGGAATAACATGGCCGAAGGCTGGTGTATCGTGCAGAGGATAGCCTGGCCGTTCATGTTCAACTTCTCCATGAGATTACATATAGACGACGACGTCTGCTTGTCCAGTCCTGAATTCGGCTCATCGAAGAAGAGTAGGAGCTGTGGACGTGCCGCAAGTTCGACACCGATGGTTAGTCGCTTTCGCTGCTAAGCTTGCGAGTTCCTTTGTCTGATGAGAAGCGTGAGGCAGGAAGACACCGTCAGTGAGCGCCCAAAGCGAAGATAAAAAGCTATCATCCTCTAGTAGCATACTTGAGTGGGTTACTTCCGGCCTTGTATTTGTCGTGACGAAGTCCCGTTTGTTACTTTTCGTGAAGTCAACGATCCCTCGATTCCCCAACGCCTGGCTCTGTCCTATCCTTTGCTAATTCTGCGCCTTTTAAAAATTCAAATATGGAAGCCAAGTCAGTTCGATGGTCGAGACAAAATGCCCCTCAAAACCAACTAAAATGGTAGCGTCCCAACAAGCAACAATCCCCCCATCGACCTTGACCTATTATACGACCTTGCCGAAGGATACCAGCTTCGAATCCACTTCCAACCACTGCCTTTATACAATCCTAGCACTCTCTATGATGATCTAGAATTCTTGCCTCCACTTCTCCGACTGGCATTTGCAGCAATAACCTTCAAGTTCGCCGATAACCCCCTGTACCGTGGCTGGGAAGGACCAGTGGGCGACGTTTACTTGAAAAGATGCCGCGAGAATGTCATGGAACTGGCTTTGGATGGTGTCAGCAAGCTGGAGGTGCTTCAAGCATTGTGCCTCCTTGCTTTGTGCGAGATCAAAGGTATGACCACCGAGGTCATGAACTTTGTGGAGACACTGTATTAATAGCCGGCAGATGGCTTACAAGAAAGGGTCATAATAAGACACTGATATCGATGTGCAAAATCGAAATCGCTAGGAACAAAGTAGTCCACAAACAAAGTCAGAACACCAAGTCGCTTGTCTGTTATCACGAATAATGGCGAACTGGCCGATTGTTCAGAATGGATGTGGATTTCTACAGGATGGACATTTACTTTCCCGTGTCTATCTCATATCTCTCTCCCTCAGAAGCAATGGCCTCTTCGAACGCGCGGATCATTCGATCATAGAGCTTGTCTACTGCTTCAGGCAAGCCGTCGGTCCCTGTCCAAATTACCCCATCTCGTAGAGGAAACAGAATTTGGCGGAGACTTTCGGCGAGCGGCTTAAGCGGGTGAAAGTCGGGAGGAAATTCGTCTAGAATACTCTGAAAGTTATCCTGATCCATGTCAAGAGACTTGCGTACCGCTAGTTGGTTCCAGTAACCATTGCTCCATTGTCGGAGCTTGCTTGCCTCTGGGGGATCATCGGCGTGGTTCGTTATGATTGTCCATAGGAAAGCGTAAAGGAAGGACTCGAGGTCGTGCCGATAAGTATGACGTTCACCCTTCAGGACGCCAATGGCCATAAATGGTCTGGTGCCGGTGATTCCAAATTCCGTTTCTAATTCTTCGGTGAGCTCTATTGCGGAATCGAGGTCTATCAGGATCCCCTTCGGCTTCCCTTCATCTTGGTCATCCAGAATGATCATGTTCCCAGGGGATATATCTTGGTGAAGAATCTTGGCGTCATGGCAGAGTGATCGGTGACACTTTATAGCGTCACGGAATACTTGCAGTACTTCTGTTAGAGACTGAAAAGTGTGAAGGGGTCGGCCAACAGGAGAAGTAACGATGCAAGCAAGGATACGATTTTGAAAGAAGTCGTCGGTTTCTTCTGTATATTTGGCAAGTCCGTCGGCGCTCCAAGTTACTTCCTGTTGTTGCTCTTGGACACTTCCATTTTTCTCTCTCGAGTGCATCCTGTTGAATTTTTTAAGGGTCCCCCACCGGAGACTTCGACGTAGGTTTGCTGTAGTCTCCAGTTCCTTGTAATAATCAACAGAGACGGCACCCCACACGCATTTCTTCTTGGCTAGCCTTAGAAGCTCATCCTCGGGACGCGCCCTGGCCCAACGCCATTTGAACTTCAAGACGTAATCCCAACGATTCGAATCGGGCATTCTAGCTCGGTAGCAAGTGGTGCCGTTGCCAACAAGCCCTTCACGGGACGCAATTGGCTGGCTTTCGAGATAAAGCTTTCCCAAAGAGGGCATCGCTACACTATCAAGAATAATGTAGCTGCCGCCATTGTCCGTCTCAAAGATGTTGAGATTCCCCAGCTCCTGGTCCGTCATTCGCTGGTAGCTGAGAATAATCGAGAGAAATCGCGTGAAATCTTTCCGGACATCGAATACGTCGCTGCAATATAGGCCAGATCGATCAAAGACCCAGAGTTCGATTAGTGAACCGCGAATGTAGAAACCATGTAAGAAGAGCCGCGTAGGCTGACTGGCGAAGACCTGGTGTACAGACCGGCAGAGACGCAGGAGCCCATCTTGATAATCAACACAACCAGGATGGTAAAAATGGCCAATAACCTGAACATGGTCCCATATCGTTTGTGTGTCGGAGGCCGGCAAAGTGGGAATGGTTAAGAGGAGACGCGTACCGTTCTTAGCATTCTCATGCTTGGGTGCTACACTGTCGCTAGATATATGCCACGAGCCTCGAGCGCCGTCAACCTGATGCAATACATAGTTGGAAAACCATTGTAGGAAGTTGTTGGGTGCTGGGGCAGCTGATGGAACGACACAGCGGCTAGTCACTCTTCCGGCTGCCTGAATTTCCAACAAAGCATCGTGGTGGACATATCGAAAATTACCGAAGTATTTCTTGATAAATCCGCTCATGGGGCCGTGCATGCGGCCATCTATGTTGTCAAGAATTTCTTGGTCGTCAATCGAGAAGGCTGGTGGAGCTGGCGAATGATTTACCTTTGGGTGAGTCTCCATAGCCAAAGGAAACACTGCGGAGTGCGAGGGTGGGGGATTTGAGGTTCAGGTTGAGGGCTTCCAGGTGCGTTTGAGTAGCCACCTCCCGAGCTGACTCGATATTGGTTGCCTGTGAAGTCGATAAGGCCAGTCTATCCTCGTGGAATCCCCGATGTTAGAGTTATGTTGTGACGCTAAAGAGTGTAATTTTATAAGTTACTAGAGGGAAGGAATTCAGATTGGAATTGGATGTGGGAAGTGCAGCCTGGAGATGAAATAGGTTAGGTGGCCGCCGGGTCCACTCCTGTGGCTTAACCCAATCATTGTCGCGGTTCTTGTTGGGCTTCAGCCACAGTTTATCACAAGTGGGCGAATCGAGGTACAGTTAGAGCCTGGCCGCAGTCTGCCGATCCGAGGACGAACAAGTCCCACCGTTAGTCTCCAAGGCGGTCTTGCTTGACCTGTTGGTAATCATATTCGTATTTGATCGGCATGTTGGCATTTGTGGATACGGTCCTTTTCGTCTCGCTCTATGCCGATGTTGGTGTTCCGATTGATGTTGGTCAGGTTGGTGTTCCTGCTATCGGTACGTGTTCATTCACAGGTAGTCAATTGGGGGGTTGGGCATTGTTGACGGGCGAGGCCTGCAGCGTAAATTCGGGCTCAAGCTTCAGTGCGAGGATGATACGGACCAGATGGGATAGACCGAATACGAACTCCATGCGAAGCGTGACACCATCATGTTCCCGGATGGTATGCCCATGCCTGATGGGGATATTGACTATAGTGTCACCACAGAGTGGAGAGCAATCTTCAATGAACTTCCGAGAACGTGCAAGCATACTACGACCTGTAGGCACGGGCGGACCACGTGCAAACACTGCAAACACTGCAACAACCATGATGAGAGTCATGTCAACTACGGCGACGAGACCGATTTCTGCTTGGGCGGGCAGAGGATTCTACCAGGAACTGCGGTCCATGATATCGTGGATCGGGTTATTGCCGCCTTTTAGTTTGCAAAGGAAGACGTCGGCTATCTCGTCGTTCGGAAACTCTTGGATGGTCATAGAAAGGATCTTCTCGTGCTGGGACGTGGACAGTTGGGAGCCATGCGAGGGATTCAAGTCTCTTTTGATATGTTGGTTTCCAAAAAAGAGTTTTATATCTCACGTATCACACGATTGAGGTCCTTACCGACCCGTATTATGTGGCTACACATGGACTTCCTGTTGTGCTTCAGGGAGGACGTCCTCTTTCTTCCACCTTCTCCACTTTGGGAAGGCAAACTTTCATAGCTTAATATCCAAGGGAATAAATATTTATACTATTCTATAAAACGTTGTTCTATAGCCTGGTGGGAATTTCCTTTTTTTTTTTTTTTTTTTTTTTTTTTTTTTTTTTTTTTTTTTTTTTTTTTTTTTTTTTTTTTTTTTTTTTTTTTTTTT